GAAAGATATGAAGAGCCCTGCTGGATTAGACCAGGGGTCCCTGTGGCCCAGCCTCCCATCTCACACAGTGCCCAACCTATTCCTCTGGAGGGCCAACAACAGGGCATGGAGGCCGAGGCCTTCCCCTGATGAGAACATCAGCAGAGCCCTGCTGGATCAGACCAGTGAGGGTCCATCCAGTCCAGCCTCCCGTCTCACACAGGGGCCAGCCAGTTCCTCTGGAGGGCCAGCAACAGGTCAGAGAGGCCGAGACCTTCCCCTGATGAGAACATCAGCAGAGCCCTGCTGGATCAGACCAGTGAGGGTCCATCCAGTCCAGCATCCCGCCTCACACAGTGGCCAACAACAGGGCATAGAGGCCGAGGCCTTCCCCTGATGTTGCCTCCTGGCTCTGGGATTCCAAGGCTGACTGCCTCTGAACTGGAGGTTCCATTCCAGGGCTAGGAGCCACTGATAGACATCTCTCCTCCATGAATCTGTCTGATTGCCTTTTACAGCTGTCTGTGCATTGCCTTTTACAGCTGTCTGTGCCCGTGGCCATCACAACATCCTCTGCCAGTGAATTCCACATTTTAATCCCTCCCTACATAAAGAACTATTTCCTTTTGCCTGTCTTGAACCTACTGCCTATCAGCTTCATTGGATGCTCCTAGTGTTTTGGGACAGAGGGGGAAAAGTTCTGTGTCAATCTCTCTCTCTCTACCCCGTGCATAATTTTATAAACCTCTATCACACACACCCCATTCGTCGTCTCTTTTCTCAAAGTCCCAGACTCTTCAGCCTCCAGAAAGACACTCTGCGCAAGTTCAGAGGCATTCTCAGTATTATATTATTATTCTGATTACTGGCCCTTTAGAACACTTAAGCCCTGGGGGATCAGATATATTCCGGGTGGGGGCGGAGCTGGAGCTCTAGCCAAGCCTCTGTTTCTTTTTTGAAGAATGGGGGCAAGATTGGGAAATCCCCCCCCTTGAGTGAACAGTCCTTCCCAGAGTGCTTGTTTTGGCTGCACCTGGCTGTCTATTAGGGAAGTGATTTTAACCACAAACGGGACTTAAGCAATAAAAACAGCTTAGCGGATCCGCCCAGCTGAACATCTTCTGCCTTTGGAGGTGTCATGCTGGGAATCTTTTCGGCCCCATTCTAATGCCACTCAGATGGCATTACTCACGAGTATGAGTGGAGAGGAAGCAAACTGTTTATGCAATCCCAGCCTCCGTGACCTCAGAGGAGAAACAAAGACTTGGCAGGTGGTTCTGTCTTCTTCGGTAAACTGGGGATCTTGCTAATCGCATAAGCACTTCGGAACATTCAAAGAGCCTAATGTATTTCTTCACTTGGAACGTTTCATAGGCCTGCCTCGCCAGAGACCGGCTCACCGCTCACCGACAAAAACAACCCACCGAAATGACTGCCACAAAAACAAGCCATCAAAAATAAGCGGGGGGGGGGGCATCAGAACTGCATGGAAGGACACTGGTCATGAGAAGCCGGAGTGGTGTTGCAGCTGGAGTGTTGGACTGGAAGCAGAGAGACCCAGGTTCAAATCCTAACCTACCATGAAGCTCACTGGGTGACTGTGGGCAAGACGTTCTTGCATCTCGGCCTGGCCTACCTCACAGGACTGTTGTGAGGGTAAAATGGAGGAAGGGAGAAACTTGTGCACTACCCTGAGGTGCTTGGAGGAAAGGCAGGGGAAGAAGAGGAGGAGGAGGAGGAGGAGGAATTTAGATTCATACTCCGCCCTTCACTACCCAAAGGAATCTCAGAGCGGCTTACAATTTCCTTCCCCTCCCCACAACAGACACCCTAGCAGGTAGGTGGGGCTGAGAAAGCATTTGGGATTGCTTTCCTTACTTTGTTTGGATCATCTTAAGTTAATGTATGAGTTGTTTTTTCTAAAGTAAAACCTCAGTATTCAGGTTAAATTGCCATGTTGGCACTTTGCAATAAATAAGTGGGGTTTGGGTCGCAGTTTGGGCACTCGGTCTCTAAAAGGTTTGCCATCACTGCCCTAGGAGGTAAGTGGGGCTGAGAAAGCTCTGACAGAAACTGCTGTTTTTCAAGAACTGCTGTGCCAGAACTATGGCTTGCCCAAGGTCATCCAGCAGGTGCAAGTGGAGGAAACAAACCCGGTACTCCCAGATTAGAGTCTGTGCACTTAACCACTACACCAAACTGGCTAAATCTATCATAATAAAAGGATCCGTCTGTCTGTGGCACTGGGGAGAAAGGCCGTGTAGGACATCTGTTATGAAGCTAATTTTGGCTACCATTTGCCCCCAAAAAGGCATGAGTGCCATTGCTGTTGCTTCCTTGGGCTTTGCTGCAACTCTTTCAGCTGGGGTTGCCACCTCTGCGTTGGGAAACAGCTGGGGGTTTTGTGGGAGGAGCCTGGGGAAGTCAAGGATTCGTGAGGGGCAGGCCCTCATCACATAAGAACATGTAAGAATGTAACATAACACTCTGTCACATCAGGGACCCTCACAACAGTCCTGTGAGGTAGGCGAGTCTGAGAGAGTGTGACTGGCCCACAGAGACCCAGCAAATTTCCATGGCAGAGTGGGGATTCAAACCCAAGTCTAACCACTGTCTCACTTATCCACACAACAACATAAGAGAAGCCAATGTTGGATCAGGCCAAATGCCCATCCAGTCCAACACTCTGTGTCACACAGTGGCCAAAAATACCAGGGGCCATCAGGGGTTCCAGCAGTGGGGCCAGGACACTAGAAGCCCTCCCACTGTTTATCCCCCCTCCCCAAGCACCAAGAATACAGAGCATCCCTTGCCCCAAACTGAGAGTTCCTATAAGAATATAAGCACCAAGGATACAGAGCATCCCTTGCCCCAGACCGAGAGTGCCTATCTATACCTTGTGGCTAATAGGGGCCACCGATGGACCTCTGCTCCATATGTTTATCCAGTTCCCTCTTGAAGCCGTCCATGCTTGTAGCCGCCACCACCTCCTGTGGCAGTGAATTCCACATGTTAATCATTCTCTGGGTGAAGAAGGACTTCCTTTTATCTGTTCTAACCCAACTGCTCAGCGATTGCATGGAGTGCCCACAAGTTCTCGTATTGTACAATGCCGTGGAGTTGACCCTCCAAAGCAGCCATTTTGTCCAGGGGAATTGATCTCTGCCATCTGGAGATCAACTGTAATACCGGGAGATTTCTGGGCCCCACCTGGAGGCTGGCAGCCCTACTTTCTTTTTTGGTAGAACCACTCATCCAGTAGTCAAACCACAGTAATCTATAGGGCAGGCACAGGGACGTCTCTGGGTTGGCAAGCACAGACAGCCCAGGACAC